CATCTCTTTAGCCAAGTGTAGCAAGTATTTATGTAGGAAAGCTTTCCATTCAACATAAGATAGTCATTTATATGTGTATTGTGTATGGCAGGTGCAGAATGAAGTCATTTATTGTGAAGGAAGACACTCCGCAGAGCAGAAGCTATAGATAGAAGAGTTACTCATTTGCTTTCCATTAGATTTGCTTTATTATAGATGTTGTATTATGGTTTTGGAGTTTTTTCATTTTTGAACCCAGGTATGCCTGAGTTGAGAGAATGTTTATACTCTTATTCTAGGATTTTGGACTGCGATGAAATGACCATTCTCCTAAAAAGGGCAGTCAACCCTTGTGGATTTGGAACATCATTTTATGTGGAAGAGACTCTTTAAAAGAGAAAATGGTACACAAATCAAGAGAGATGTTGTTAGTGGCAATCAGGTGGCTTCTAAAGTGTCTGAATTGATTGACGTAAGATATGAGAACATGGAACCTAACAGCCATTTGAGATTTTGGTTCTCATAAAGATGTTATTTATGCAGTCAAGACTTATTCCATAATCAAGGATTTTGAGGCCACAATTGGATCTGGGTGCAGCATCATTTGCATTAGTGATTGGGTAAGTCCAAAATCAGACTAATAAGTGATGCACCGACATGATGTTTCTTGAAACAAGTAGAATTCCTAGGAATCACTCGAATGGGCAATTGATTAACGTATGATTGTGAACTTTTCAACTGGTTGCATGGCTTATGAGATTTGAGAGTGGAGTCTGAGCAAGATGCAGTTATTCAAGGATTGTAGTATGAATTGGCATTGGAGAAGGTGAATCCAAATGATATAACTGTGGCAGAGTTCACAAATCGAATTTCATGGCTGAGGAATAAGCTAGGACATGGTGGACTAAAAGATAAAGACCTTGTACCCTGAGAACTGGATGTCCAGGACAAAGTTAGTGGCAATGTGCTAGCTGGAGATGAGTACTCAATTCCATATGACAGAACTCCAGAACAAATTCTAATGATTGTGTATGGAACTGGGGACGAGACAGTCCCTGAGGTTTCTACCCAAAGAGGGCTGTTGTTGCACGAAATATGCGTTTAAAAAATCTGAGATTAATGAACAAGAGAGAGTGAAAATGTGTTGTGTGGGTACGTCTTTAATATTTATAAAGGGGACAATGGATCTATTTAGTCAAAGTTGAAAATAAAAGAAGAGATATTTGTTTCTTTTTGAAAAGTATTTGTATGGACCTTTTCTAAGTTCCCTTAATTGCTTGCAGGCAGTGAAGTCCAAAAAGGGTATTTTCTTTGTCCAGCACCAAGTGGCTTATTAACCATTATCGTGAGGAACATTGCCTCGATCTCTAAATCTTGAATTATAACTCAGCCAACTACCTTTTTTTTCAATTTTTTAATGTAAAAAAAAAAAAGTATTTTCTTCAACGATAAAAATGGTTTTTCCACTAAGCTTTCAGTGTATGAATGTAAATCAGGCGTAAGTTGTGGAAAATTAGAGGTGCCTTCGGGACACATGTTTTTGTTTTTTTTTTAACATAGGTAATTCGGGGCAAACGAAATGGGTGGGGATTAAACCCCACACCCTTAGCTGAAAAGCCCTTTAACGATATTGAGGTTGCCACTTGAGCCACCATGGGTTTCTCGGGCCACATGTTTTTTTTTTTTTTTTTTTTTGGGTAAAAGAGAGAATTGCATTAAAAAACAACAGATAATACACTATGGCCTGGGAAAATGGACCTTTGTTTAGCTTTATAACAAGGAATATGTAGTATATTCAGAAAAATGGACCTTTGTTTAGCTTTATAACAAGGAAAAAATATATGTTCAGAAAAATGGACCTTTGTTTAGCTTTATAACAAGGAAAAATTATATATTCAGAAAAATGGACCTTTGTTTAGCTTTATAACAAGGTTTTTTCCGAATCTGATTCCCCTTAAAACTTCTCTACATCCATTACATCTCTATTACTTAGTGGATCCTACATACTTGTAATAAAGCAAAACAAAAAAGAATATGGACTTTTTTTATAACATTATAATATTAAAAAAAAATATTATATAATATTATGAAAGTATATAAAACTTAGTAAGTAATAAAGCAAAGGTCCATATACTTCTTTTTTTTGTTTTGCTCTATCACTTAGTGGGTCGCATATACTTTTTGCTTTTGTTGAAGTGAGTCTTCGTATCCATTTTTTTAAACTTAAATGACGCGAGACCCGCTAAACAATAGGCCAAAGGCCTAGGACCTTTTTGTTGAATAATAGGAAAATAGGTTTCCCTATTTAAAGAAAATATGCTGACTTGTAATTGAAATAGGGACTCAGTTTAACAAGTCTTTATGCTCTTTTGTTTTGTTCAATCACAAGTATATGGGACCCACTAAGTAATACAGGAAAACAAGAAGGCAAAGGGTCCTTTGCTCTATCACTTAATTGGTAGGTCCCAATACTTTTTTGTTTGGTTGAAGTGAGTCTCCGTGTCCATTTTTTTAAACTGCCTACTTCAGACCACGGCCCAACATGTATGCACTATCACAACATGTTCTGATTTTAGGCCTCCTTATAAATCTAGGGACCTGCAGCGAACATGTTCATCTCATTCCCCTTCTCTTCATTGCTCAATTGCATCTTCTCTTGTTCATTGATCTCAGATTTTTCAGGCTACAATGGGTGTTTTTACTAATAAAATGGAGGTCACCACAAAGATCCCCCCAGCTCGGATGTTCAGGGCCCTTGTCTTTGATTATGAAAATCTCATCCCCAAGATTATTGCTCCAAAGGCCATTCAAAATGTTGAGCACATTGAAGGAGATGGAGGCCCCGGAAGCATTAAAAAGATCACCATTGGAGAAGGTTTAGTTTCCATAATCATTTCTAACTCCTTGCACGTTACAAACAACTAATTAAATCAGCACTTGCGGCCTTAGCCGCGATGGAAGTGCACTTACGTTCTTAGTTTTTTTGACAAGGGTTCAAGCTACCAGTACAGCAATATTGTATCTGCTCCCCCATCCCCAATTTCCCATTGGTTAAAAAAAAAACAAACAAACAACTAATTAAGTCGTATTTTATTTACAGAAAGCCAAGTCAAGTATGTGAAGTTCAAGATTGAAGCAATCGACGAGAAAGGCTTCTCATTCAACTATAGTCTCATAGAAGGTGATGCTCTGACGAACAATCTCGAGAAAATCTCTCATGATATCAAGTTTATGGCAGCTCCAGATGGAGGTTCCATTTGCAAGATCAGCATCAGCAACCATTATACCATTGGTGACATTTATATCAAGGAAGAAGATATCAAAGCGGAGAGAGAAAGGGCCTTGGGACTCTTCAAGGCCGTTGAGGCCTACCTCCTCGCAAACCGTGGAGATTGTAAGATTAAAGTTAATTAGGTCTTTATTTGGCTTGTCTAGAGCAGTTTGCCCTGCTATACAAATATAGAAATATACAGATAATGACAGAAGGGTTTGTTGCCACTTTGTTCTTCCTGATACTTTGTTTAAATTTTCCATCAAAAAGAAAAATATTTTGTTTAAATTAATAAATATTTTCTTTCTTTCAAATGAGATCTTCATTTACTCAATAGGGTTGTCCCATATTTCCTTTGCTCCTTCTTTTCACTTGTCTATTAAGTCTTTTCCCTAATTTCATGGCATGAGTCGAGAGAAACCCTTCTCGTCGATGAATAGTTGCTAAGAATCGGAGATTGTTTCGTTTACGCTTGCTGAGAAAGCAATCTCCATTCGTCCTCTGCCTTGAGCTGGGGTCGTTTCTATGGTTCCTAAAGCATGGGCAGAATTAGGAGAAACCATACATGCGCCCAGAACCTGGGTACCTATTTCTGCTTCTGAAAATCGATGGACTGAATACAAGTATGAAAAATCCGCCCTCGGGCTTCTGGCGCTCCTTAGGAGTGCTCGCCGCCGTCATGGTTCCGCTGAGAGATCTCAGCTTGTTTTTAATTTTTTTCTCTTCATTTTCATCCGGTTCTCTCACCTTTTCTTCAATTGCCTTTCAATCTAGTGTAATGTTCGATCAAATCTTGAAAAACCCAAATGTATTTTTGCTTTTCTTTGTTTTTCCGTTCCCAAATCTGGATGGGGGTTTACATCTGGAAGGGAAGGAGACTCTGTTCGCGAGTGACTTGGGGCTGTCTTGTGGTATGGATTCCGATGGATGAGTGGGAAAGATCAGCGCCTTCATTACCAATGGTTCGATGGTAAGGGTTTCAATGGTGGGTTTGATCTTTAGCACTGGAGAGTTTGTCCCAGTAGCCTCGATGAATCAAAAGGACCCTGCAACTGTTAAGCTGTATGGGTTTATCACTGGCGAGGGCCCCTTCCAATTCCTTATGGATGCTCGTGCTGAACAGAGGAGTCCTTGCAGCTTCGCCGGCAATACTAGGCAGGTGGTTCGGACTAACAGGAATGATGATTTGAGCTGTCTAGCCATCAATTATGAAGATGGAATGAAGTTTATTCCTGTAACTAGTGATGAATGGTTCTAGCACTGTGCCTAGTTCATGCTGGTAAGCAACTTAACCCATCAAATAATGATCAAATTTTGTTTAATCAATCTGGAGTTGAGCTTGACATTGTGGATGAGCAAATCGATAGTTACTGTGGCATGTTTGTAGGGCATTTAGGTTTTGTTGTTGGTGTAGAGAATAGATAGATTGAATTTGCATTTAATGTTGATGACCTAGTTACTAACTGTGTGCTCGATTTGTTGTTGATGAGGTCTATTTGCCCTATTTCTGTTAAGAATCTACTGGATGTGTGGTATTTATCTAAGAATCCAGTTACGTTTATGAGGGGGTAAAGCCTGTTCATTACGCCTATGTGATTCCAAAGAAGAAGTTACACGTGATGAAAATTAGGAAGAAGATAGGAAAAATTGATCATTTAGTGGAGATGTTATAGTCCTTGGCAACAAAAACCAGTGTGCTGCAGGGGTTGGTGGCTGCCTCGTAACAGCCACAGGAACCCCATGACACTTGGAATTTTAAGGGACCCCTTGGCTCCTTTAGGGCTTCACAGAGGTGTACTTTCAGACTCAAGCTATCCTAGTTTGTTTCTCTTTGTTTTAATATAGAAAAAACCTAAAAGTTGTCTTGTTATTGTGGTGTATTGGTGGATGGTATCACTTGGGAAGCTGCTAGGCTGGCTATTCCGGGTATGTTGCTCTTGGCAGTCTCCCCTAGGACATGATATGGAGAGTCCTTCTCTTATGGGCATTTCATCCACTTCAACTGTGTGCATGATTGTTCATCGGAGGCTATTTCATTGGTGTTTTATATCAAGGAAGAAGATGTCAAAGCAGAGAAGGAAAGGGCCTTAGGATTCTTCAAGGCTGCTGAAGCCTACTTCCTCGCAAATCATGAAGCTAGTAAGAAGAGGGTTGATCAAGTCCTTTTTTTTTTTGTTAATTGGAATTTTATGAAGTTATGCTTCATAGATATACTGTTTTCCACATCGGGAGAATGCTGCCCTTCTTTGTTCTGTTCTTTGGAAAAAAAAATAATAAAAAGAAGCAGGAATTTTTCAGGATCTAATTATTGAGAAATCATTCAAAAAACAGAAAAAGATAGAAAATTTTACCAAAATCGGAGAAGATGAGGACCCCTTCTGTTTTTCTGAATCCACTTCCACACCGCAAACCGTGGGTTTTTTAGCATTGATTTCTTTTAGTATTATTAATTAATTAATTAATTCATAATTACTGCCCCAATCGCATTCAGTTAGTCGACCTAACGGTGCCGTTTAGCCCAGTTCATGGTTCATACTTCACACTGCGGTTAAATTTAATAAATAGTCTATTAACTATATGATTTATTTTAATTTAATTTAAAAATAATTTTATTTTTTAAAATAATCTACAAATTATCAATTTTATTTCAAGATGGTGTACTTTACAAATATTCCATTAACTAGATTAACAGAAATCTTTTCAACAGTTGATGTGTGCCCCTAAACTTTTGAAAATTATTAAATATAATATATATATTTTGTAACATTTTGTTTTTTAAGTTTAAATTCTATATCAAATGTAATAATTAACCAAAATAAAATTTCAATTTATATTAATTAGGATTCTAATTTTAATTTACAATAATCAATAATATAATTTAAATTTTATTATTTCTAAAAAAATTAATTTATTATTAAATATTAATATTTTTAATAAATAACTCATTCCAAAATTTAATTGAATTAAATAAGCACCTACACATAATTAAAATTCCTTGAAAAATAAATTTTCATTTTAATTTTATAAATCCCCAAATTAAAATCATGCATATATTATTAGTGTTAAAAATAAAAATAAAATTTTTTATTTTTTATACAAATTAGTGAAAAAATATGTAATTTAATAATGATATGATGTTTTTAAAAAAATAATAAAATTTAAATTATAATATTGATTATTGTTTTTTAAAATTAGAATCTTGATCAATGTAAATTAAAATTATTATCTTAATTAATTATTACATTTGACATAAAATTTAAATTTTAAAAATAAAATATTATAAAAAAAATATATGTATTATATTTAATCTTTTTTAAAAGTTTAGAAGGCACATGTCAACAGAGAAAAAACTGAGTTAGTCCAATTAATGAAATATTTGTCAAGTAAATCATTTTGAAACAAAATTGATAGTTAATAAATTATTATAAAAAAATTATTTTTAAATTAAATTAAAATAAATTATATAATTAATAATCTATTTGTTAAATTTAGCCTACTCTGTCCGTAGCTGCTTTCGGTATCTTCTCTAGTCTCATCAGCGGGTATTCTGCAGTTGAGGGCAAAAGAATCCAACCTTAGGTAAGCTTGTTTTGGCTTCGAATTCTATGGCTTCTTAGGCTTCCGGGTTCTGTGTTGAATTGAAGATTTTGAAATAAAGCTATAATCTTTTACCATGTACTTGAAAAAGGGTTGTTCTTTGATGTTAAAAGTCCACAAACCTTCAATCCCATTTGAATTGAACACAAACCCACTTCTGAACCCCAATACTGAAGCCCAAATAGGGGCAAAACCGGACCCTTCTTGAAGAATCTCAAGGGATAAGTAAATTGAAACATAAACCCATTATTGCATCAACCTGCATTATTTTGAACCTATGGAGATAATTTTTTTATATTATTTTTTTATATAATTTTTATATATTATTAAATAAGTGATGCATTTAATATCATAAATCTCATATAAATTAAAAAAATTAATCATTTAAATAATATATTAAATTGTAAAAAAACAAAAAGATAAAAAGATTATGCAAAAATCAGTTCCCATTCCAAAGACATTGCCAATTCAAATGCCGCCAATTTAATGTTAATTTAGTCAATTTCAGGTTATTTACTTCTCACTGAATGGTAGAAGATTAAAAACTTCAACTTGTAAAGTGAAAACTATTCACTCCCAATAATAGATTTTATTATTTAAAATTTGTTTTAAAAATAATAATTATTTTATATTTTAAAATTAATAAATTTTTTAATTTAATTTTATAATTATTAATTAATTTTAATTATTTATTTTATTATAAAATTTTTTAAAGTAAAATAAATAAAATAAAAAATTATTTTCAAATCTTTAATACTAAGATAAAAGAAAAAAAAGGTATATTATTTTGAAATTTTAATTTAAAGATTTTTTTTTGAACAATGTGAATCTTTTTCCAATAAAAAAAAAAGTAGGATTTGAGATTTGATTCAAAATTGGCTAATCATAAGCACGTTCCACAAAGAGGTGGCCTCAAGTGCAGAACTATTTAAAGGTAATTTTTTATATTAATTTTTTATATAATCTTATATGATATTTAAATAATTAATTTTTATTTATTTATTTAAAATCAATAATAATATGTTAATATTATGTAAAAAATTATATAAAAAAATTTTCAGTATCACTGTCTATTATTTTCAGATAAAAAAAAAGTTAAAAACAATATATTAGAGGGAAAAGGTGATAACAACAAATTAATAAAACAAGGGACAACCTCTCACCCATGGGGTCGTTTTGACCACTTTTCTCATTGAGAAGCAATTAAGGGCATCGTTGATGATCTTTAGGTCAAGTCCTAGACTCGACATATTCTCATCTCTTAAGGACAGATAGTAATATTACCATTGTAATTCTTACCGTAAAAAAAAAAAAATAAAATAAATAAATATAAACAGTAATTATGAATTAATTAATTAATAATACTAAAAAAAATAATGCTACAAAAAACAGGGTTTGCTGTATCGAAGGGGACTCAGTAGAACAGAAGGGGTCCTCGTCTTCTCCGATTTTGGTAAATGCTTCTATCGTTTCTGTATTTTGATTGATTACTCGATAATTAGATCTAGAAAGATTCCTGCTTTTCAATTATCTTGGGACATGTATGTGTTCCTTACTTCTGCTTTATTTTGGTTATTAGATCTTCTAAGTCGACCTAATACCGGTGTTCTTTCGACACTCTGAATCTCAAGATGGCTGCTTTTTCTTTACTCAAATGGAGCGGTTGTTGGGTTTTGGTTTTTCCTCCTACCCAATTTGCAGTATTTGCTTCTCATCATGATTCGACGTTCTTTTCTATGGTTATTGGTAGTAGAATTCTTAATTTATCATAACTTTATCATCAGACTTTGAGATTCTTTTGAACGGGTGGATTTTTTTTTTTTTTTT